GTACTAACTGGTTAAAAAGATATTAAATATAATTTAATGAAGTTAAATATAATTTAATGAAGTTAGCCATGTATCTGTCACAAGGCGAAATTCTCTGCCAAAAGTTAATCATTTCGATTAACAAAATTCGGAATATTTCAGTACAAACGCAATAAATATTAAAAAATACATCTCTGCACTATTCCACACAATTTCTCATACTCAAAATACACCAAAAGTGGATATTCGTCAATATTGATTTTCAGGTACTTTTTGCTGGGATTGTACATACAAAACATCCTTAAAAAACTCTGTAAATTTGAATTAATTTAGATTTGATAATACTACACACAAAGACCTTTTCTGCGATATCGGAAAAGTAAAATTCGGAGAATTTCGATTATGTTCTTATGAACACAATGGATACGCAATTTCCTCGACCACGGATTTTCCTCGACATCATTAGATCACGGAAACGAATGAAAAGTCTGGCGCTATCTAGCTAATGGAAATTTTACGTTCCAAAGGACAGAGTTAAAGCTACGGTGATCGATGATCGAGATATCGTTCTGTTGTGAAAGGGCAAGCGTGCACAATGCAAATATGTGCGGAATAAATTATCGTTTGGTATTTTATCGCGCGCTTTAGGTTGACATTTGAATTTTCGCGTGACGAAATCGTGACGCGATTTCTCCCTAAATTATTGTCGCGTTGTTATCCCATGCGTCCTTGCATGAAATTTAAAGAAGAAATAAGGAACGAGCGATATCGCGCCTGGTCTTTTCCCATTCGTTCGGTGACGTCTCAGTCGCGCACAGTTCGATACACTTGACAAATGTTGCATCCAACACGGCACAATCTTTTTCCGAGTGGGAAAGCTACGAGCTTTGTGCACACCTTACAGTGACAAATGGTCCCAATAAGGAAACTGTAAGGCGCACTTGTCGGTCGCAGCCCCTGCGGTCACGATCTGGCAAATTGCAATTGTCTGAGCATAAGACATGAACGAATTTACGATAAACAAGATCGTTCGTGTTAATGGCTACTCAGAAAGAATAAATCAAATTATAACGTCATTCCTAGTGCGAAAACAAACAATTACAAGCACTTGATGCCGAAATTGTGCTCTGGAGGGAAACGCATATTAAATTTAAATACAGTTTAATTTGTTTTAATTAACGCAATGTTAAACTTCTGTTCCTTAATTACCATCTCTATTTACAACCCAATTATCGTTGTTGTTAGTTTTATTGCGGATAAAAATATTTATACCTTAAAATATCATTGTGTCGTCATGTGAATATAATATTTTTTTTGCTGGTAGATTAATTTTTTTAGAATTTATTTTAGGTAGATTTATTTATTTATTTTTTTATTTAGGTAGATTTATTTTTTTTAAGCCCCCCTTAATTTTCGACAAAGAGTCATCTTCTAAAACTTTTCGCACTTTTAAGAAACACTCTGTATATGTACCTGAGAGATGTTAGGCGTTTAAATAGGGAATTAACTGTACTAAAACAATTATAACGTGTCTGTAACTGGCATTATGAGACCCTTTGATAAGCAATTATGATCGCTAACGATTCCATAATCCCGCTGTTCTCCTTATTATCGATGTAACATCACACGAACATTTCTCCATTTCAATTCCGCGAACTCTATCATCGTTCTATCCTCGTTACATGCGTGTTTCTCATCGCATGATCTTTTGATCTATGATCAAAAGATCACGTTTCTTCGATGCCACTCTGTATTCATAGTCAAAGTTTTCAAGTATGTGTGCGTTATTTGCATGTACATGCCAAAGATTGAAAAACATTCGCGAAAACATATAATTCGCATTTATTTGTATTCAGATCCTAAAAAGAGAGATGTTGCGAGACGTTTCAAAATTTTGTCCAATAACTATTTTTAATTTTTAATTTTTAATTATCGACAATTCGTCATTTCTTTTTCGGAATCCTTTATTTCGCATGCGAAATATTCACGAAAACGCTCGTTAGATCATCTATAATTATAGCGTATTTAATAACATTGAATTGCGCTTTTGCTCATCGATGCGAAAGTGGAGGCAATCAGTCGCAACATACAATCCAAGTCCGTCTGGCCGTATTATCGAAAGTGCAATAGCGCGACGAGATTCGTAACAAGAACGTTACGAGGAAAGGAAAGATTTTACGAGAAAATCGATGAATAAATAATAGTAATTTGACTGACGTTAATTAATGCTGATAACTTATACACGAATATTTATCTCTCTAATTTTATATATGTAAAAAAAAAATATATACGTAATATCGTATTAAACTGTGTTCAGCTTTTTTTTAGAAGCGATTAATTTTTTTCCAAGTTCCAATTCTTAATAGACATTTTATTAATCGACATATATCTAATTGTAAGAATCATTATCACATAAGTAAGAATTATATCACATTCATCTTTATATCACATGGGTGTGGCAAGTGAAACCATAATTCTTTCTCGCACGGAAATTATGCAGCTCGTGGATTATGAAGACAAGCTGCATCACGCTGACAGCTTATTAGTAAAGTCAGTCATTAAAACTAATTAGTTTTAATTACTTAATGTTACAGCTCGCGTCTCTGAATTTTATACACTTTATGCACTAATCTCGGTACAACAATTTAAGACACGTGTGGTATGTTATTTTATACAAAGATTAATATGGCCGATAAATATTTAAGAAGCATGTTAAGAATCTCCCCCTCCCCCGATGACGAGATAACATTTTAAGAATAGATGCAAAATGTAACGTTGAAAATATTTGCCTGATCAAGTACGATATTTTCGCAAGAAATATTTTCAATCTTTCGATCAGAGCGAACGATATTTAAATCTCTCGAGCGACGTTTATTTAGTTGCGAGAGCCGTTAAATTTCACATCGCCCGCGGATCCGTTCAATGATAATCCTTTTCCTGAAGGAAATGGAGCATATTGATTAAAAAAATGAAAAATAAAAATGCGAAATATATAAAATATATATCTATATAAAATCTAAATATATAAAATATATATCGATTTAAATAAATATACATGTATATGTGTACATGTATATGTGTACATACATATATACTATGCATATATTATTTTCATTAAGGAAAAAATGTTGGATTGCAGTTATTTTTTTCGAAATTTATGCTGCTGTTACGTGACATAATCTGTAGATTTTTATTATCGTAATTTTTATTATCGTAAAATTTATGATAATTAATCAATCAAAAATTTACAGAAATAATTGCTAAATTAACTGAAGTAATTTTTTACAAAATTTTCTTATTGTTTTCAAATTTGATCCGAATAACACGCGTACATTGCATAAGTAAACATTAAGAGAATAAGGAGGATTGCATAAGCAAATAAATGAAAGAAAACTCATGATTCATAAACGCACGTTTAACCGTGAATAAGCAAATTTTTAGAATATTATCGATCGTCAGAAGAATAAAATTTTCTGAATTATCTGTCATAAAATGATAAATATGCAAGCAAGATATATCAATCGTTTGATTATAATTTTGTATGTACATATACATAGACTAAAATAATTTTCTCGGAAAAATAAAAAATACACGTCAAGTGATTGCAATTTTTTACTTTATTTTGCTTCCAAATGTAATTAATATGTTTTGTAAATTTCAACATGCACTTTTTCGTGTTATTTATGAGGCGAAAAATTGGACTTTCAAATTCGTTGTTTGATTAAAAAAATACATCTATCGCACAGCATAAAATAATGAAATTATTTAATTGCAACAATAATTCTCTTGTTTTTTCAACTCGCGTCTTTTCATCCGTTATATTTTTTTACGCGAGAAATCTACACGAAACTTTATTTGGAACTCTTTTTCACCGAGTTGATTGCTTCATCTCATACAACTTGAAAACGGGTCAAGAACTAACAATATATCTTGCGGCTACTTGGAATAGAAACTACTTGGAATAGAACGCAATTGATGCTACTAGTATGCTCTGTACAAATTAACATTCGTATGCGACAATCTGGCACCTCATGCGTAAATGTCCGTGTTTACGTGTATGTCTGTTCTCGTTACTTGCGACTGTATTGTTACTCTTTGTGTAGGCGCTTAGCTAACGATGGCCAACCATGATACGATGATTGGTGTAACGTTTAATTGATACTAATCGTATATTGGGATTTGCTGCTTAGAATTAATTAGCTGCGTTACATTAATTTGCATTCAAAGTGATTACTTATGATACCGTGTAACACGAGTTTAACTTGATTTATTTGGACGTATTGCTTTTGATAGACTGTTTTGTTTGCAGAAATATTTAATAGTACGAATGACATTTAACGGTAAAATTAAAAGAATTAAAGTTGGCATAAAGTTGAAAAAATTTTATTTAAAGCTCAGGTCTATAATTTTAGAAAAATGTTTTGTGATTTCGATGGCACGTTAATTTAAAGCATGTCAATTCATAAATTACCGCGTTGTGCAATTCGGCATTTTATTTCATTAAAACAAAAGATTATATAACGCTAAGATTAGCATACACAGAAAAAAAGAACATTCTTGTTTTGAGAATATATTTAGTTTTAACATGGAAATCTTGAAATGAAATTATATTGCGTTAATGAAAGAAAAATATAATTGCTCGAATAATTGCTTACTTGAATGACGCCATTTTATATAGTTCAATCGAAACAAATATATTCTCATGATTTAAGATTTAATTTTCTCGAATAGAAAAGAAACAAGTGTTAGATGGAAAATAACTTTTAATTTAATTAATTTATTTTATTTTTAAATTAATTAATAATTTTTAAATCAAAGATTATAATTTTCCTAAAGTAGAACTAAATAATTATATTATTCTTGAGGTGACAATTACAATATTAAAACAAGACTGTAATATTGTTGAAATTTAAAATTATTAAATTCTTCTAAGAAGATTATAAATTGTTGCGTATGTACGAAAAAACGAACGCGTTAGGTTAAGTATATAAGTTTTGACTTGATACTTTTTTTCTGTGCAGGAATAACACAAATATGCGAACCTGTTTGTGTATGCATTTTCACCATCGCGTCCTCGCGCAGTTTGTAATGGAACCTCCACAAATTACGTGCATTTTCAAGTAAATGAGAAACCCCATCGCAAAGATCCAACGACGTGTCATGCATTACATCCGTATTTAACCAGGCGGACCTAGGGTTTCCGCAAACATCACACGTGTACATATCCACCGTGCACACGCGTGCACACGCGAGGTATATCTCAACGATGTGTCACGCGCGTCAAGTACCATCTCCGCGTTTACGTCGCATCAACGGGTATAACGACAACCAGGTCCTTTACACGAGTGCAGCGAATGACCCTGACCTCCCCCTGATTTCATTTAAGCAAAAGGCATCCATTAGATAAAACGATGAGCGAAGCAAAGGCAAGTCGAGTTGGAACGAGCTGTAATCACTAATATTGGATTTTAGGAGAAACACATAAACTAAAGCGTATACTCGTTCATGTAACAGTAATGGACAAGCAAATATAACTATTTTTGTTTCATTTTTTTTTTAAATGTACAGCCCGATGATCGTTAAAGTTACTCGACGCGAATGAATTGTAGCCAGTCAGCGATACATGTAATGGAAATCAATAAATGGGTATTCGCGAGGCGAAATATAATTTTCCGTTATGCTTTATCACGCATGCAGAATCTATCGAGAACACTTGTAGCATTGGAAAATGAGGATTAAGTGCGCTAAAAAAAAAGTCTTAACGTCGACAAAAAAAATGCAGTGCTTTTAAAAAGTAACGCGAGCCCCAATAACTATGGATTTGAAGTGTTTCAGTTTCTCTCGCAAGTTAAAAGAATAAAGAATGGAAAAGAAAATATATTCATGTATGCTTTCTCCATAATTTTTATCTTTATTTTCTACATTATACTACATTTGACGCGTTACGTTATATATATATTATATATATAAACATATTCTATTTAGATAAAAGAGCTTCTTCATAATAAAGATAAATGCGGCATGTTATATAATATATGTAAGATTTTCTGGTTTTTTTTATATTCTTTGACATTTTACGTTTGACCTAGTCTTCGTTTCGCAGGAAATATCCATTAGGGAATAAAATGATGGGCACGATGGAGCGAAGAGTGGGTCACGTTGAGTCAAAGCTAAAATGCAGCCATTAATCTTGAAATGTAGGCAAATGAAATGTTTGCAAACGTTTACTTGATAACGTTATACCGAATTTTTTAACAGAGTTTAACGCTATTTTACGTCGCCTCGGTTACTGGAGCTTCACAAAATGAGTTTCAACATACGCATATGCAGCTGTATGTGTTCCCTGTAAGAATATTTAATTTTTACAAAATTATAATATATACATTGAAATTTGAAAATCTGTCGATGCTCAATATACTATGATTTTGAAAAAAAACATCATATCAAATACAGAAAAAGAAAGATTGTTATCTCTGTAAACGTGGAAAGCATAGTTTGCTGTTTACACATTCCGTTTACACATTTTTCTCATAGCAAAAATACAAAGAAATTGCATTAATTAAGTAAATAACACCAGCAAAGAGAAATTGAATTTTGAAACAGTAAATGATGCTCTTGATGTGTATATGTAATCAAATTAAGATACAGCGCATTGCGCGAAGTATATTTAATGCATCGCGACGGGTGATCTCCGCGTGATTGCTTATTTCTTCAGCAAATAGTTGGTCAATTTGCATACTGCCCTCAGAGAGTTGGTTGAATTTATCAAGATAACTTCCAGGAGTAACCCCATAATTATACGTATACCCCAGTACACGTACAGCAAATATAACACGATTTATTCTACCTAAGTCCACAAACTCGGGACAATCTACTAGATGTACCAGCGGACTAAGATAATCACAATTGACTTGGAAAATTTTTGAAATGAGACATAGACGCGTAATATAAAAGTCATCCAATTACAAGGATAAAGAAAAGCACACTTATCTCTGTTTTAATATATACACAGAAAGAAAATGAGTGTCAAATCGAAACTTGTATACTTAAAGTAATTCATTGTTTCGTAGATACGCAACAATTTATAATCTTCTTAGAGGAATTTAATAATTTTAAATGTTAACAATATTATAGTTTTATTTTAATATTGCAATTGTCACCTTAAGAATATATAATTATTTAATCCTACTTTAAGAAAATTATAATCGTTGATTTAAAAATGTTATTTTCCATCTAACATTGTTTCTTTTACATTCGAGAAAATTAAATCTTAAATCATAAGAATATATTTTTCTCGATTGAATTATATGATGATTGAATTATAAAATAGCTTCAGTAAGCAATTATATTTTTCGAGCAATTATATTTTTCTTTAATTAACGCAATATAATCTCATTTCAAGATTTCCACGTTAAAACTAAATATATTTTCAAAACAAAAATGTCCTTTTTTCTGTGTATGTATATATTTTGTATTTTGCATATTTCTAAATCAAAGAATGAAAAAATAATTATGCTTTATTATGTTATATATTTCCTTTTCACTTATATTACTCATTTGCTTCATCTATCTGATTTATGTAGATATTCGAGTTTGCGAGCCTCGTATAACACGTACTATATTACCTTCGATCTATCTGCACCCACGCCGCGCCCAGGACGATCTCCTTGAGAAAAATGTGGAGTCTGAGTAAGCACGAAGGAACGACTATCCTTTATCTTTACGATCTTCATCGCGTTCCTTTTAAACTATGCTTTTCCCGCACTTTTCTTCCCGTTATTTTTCAAGATGCGCATATACATGTTGAGAAAAGAATAAAAAAATTTTAATCTTTCAATAGTTGAAATATTTAAGATAGTCGTGACAGATATTGCGAATAATATCATGAATTTTACTCATATAAGCTGTGGCCGTTAATAAAAACAAATCCTGCAAATCGTATGACATGGTTTTCCCATAAATCGAAATGAAATATGACAATAGTTATTATGACTAACATATAGCTATTATAGTATAATTTTTTGTCATTTATTATAAAGATTATGTTTCCGCAACTGTATAATGTCCCCTTCTCGTCGATGCGATCGACATGATACAAAATGTTTTAAGCGACATGTTGCAGAATCCGTTTTTCACGCATCAGAGGTAAAACGAGCCGAGAAATTCGAGGAGATGCTTCATCACTGTCCGAACGAGGTAAAGAGAGTATGCTGGTAACGAAAAACCTTTTGATCTGCGTGTGAATTGGAACACTCGGGAATACTTTGAAGCCAGTTTAATGTAACTATTATTAGATTATACCATCCGCTGATTAAATTTAATCGACTGCTGTCTACTATCGTAGTCGGGATTACGAAGCGCGGATATTAATAGATGTATTTGCATATTTTCCCGAAATGAACTGCAGTCGTGGCACGTCGAAAGTATAAATACACATCTGTCTCGATACGTGATATGTTTGATTGTTAGTTGTAACCCGCCGCAATTTTCGCACCTACCATTCTGCGCGCATACCAAGTGTACAATTGCGCTTTGGTAGTAGTTATCAAGAATTCATAATGCCTAGGTCACTAGGGAGTGAGTTCAGTCCTGAAATTAGGATCGACGAGATGCCTAATTTCAGGAAACTGTATTTTGGGGCTAAAATTAATTACTCGACAATCTCTCCTTTATTAATTGCAATTTGAAGCTTAAATTTGCGAGAATTATTTCAAATATCCAAATTTCTCAAGCCAAATATGTCTGCCATTTTAATAAAATAATAAAGAAGGAAGAATTATAGAAATAATTTCGTCCTGATAAAAATATATGGAACAATAACATTTCGATGTGTATAATTCACGAATGAGATAAACATAAAATTTTAGGCCGATAATACATAGTTAAATAAAGATGATTGAGAATGCCAGAATGCCAGATTAAATGGAAGACGAGACGCTGCGTGTATTTATATTCAAATAGATGCTCTATGAATATTCAAAGCTGCCGTAAAATATTAATGTCGCAGACGAAACGAAACTGTCGTTCCCTCGTGCGCGAATTCGTGATTAGATGTCCGAGCAATGTGCAATGCTTGTGTAAAGATTATGAAAGATAACGGAGGACTTTGGCGCCCCGTTCAATAAGCTGGATTTGGGCCAATCTATCGTCGATTGAATTACGTCCGACAGTGAGAGGGATTGTTTACCAATCTCGAGAGAGTCAAACGAAGCTTAACTGATTTAGAAAGCCATTCGCAGATTCTATCTACATGTACGAAGAGTTCAGAAATCACGCAGTCATTCTGGAGCGATTGACCACCGAGTCTTTTCTTTCAATTAATAATATTGTACAATTGATACAATTGATTTAATACAATTGATAATAATATAATACGCCAGCGAATTATATTTGCGGGCGATATAAAAACTCCTTTCTTTATAAACCGATCAATCTTATCAGCGTTATCCTCTTCATTCCAAGATGCAAAGCTTAATCTGTAAATTCTGTTTGATGCCTCGGGCGTCAATAGATTATGCATAATGCGATTTTGCATTAAAGATGCATCGTGCAACTGCTGAGCGGGATTAAAGAGTATAAAGGCGATGTGTCAAAATTAATTAAGAGACAAAAGAGAGCGGGAGAGAATAAAAGCATCTTGAGACAAGTAACAATTTTGCATCGTATCAACAAATTCTTTACGTCCCCACGTCAAAATCAGCTTGTCGAGTGAGATAGATTAGAGCATCTAGCTTGCAAAAGGAAGAAGGGTTTGAAAGTAATTTTCCTTGCTTTCTATCCCGAGTTTTTCCGCCTTTCTCATTTCGCTCATCGCAAAAGCCGTCGACCGACCGGTTAAATTAACGGGCCAACCACTCACCTTTTCTCTTTTCGCTGCTGCTTTTTCTTTTTGAAAGCCTTTTTCACTCGCAGAAGCAAAAAAGCGGCGCGATCGATGGTTAGGCCTGGTGAAGCCTTGTCGCCGCTCGACATCCTGCGTCCTAATCCTCCCAACACCTGTAAACGTAATCAATAGATTAGAGCGTGTCTCGTTAGGATTACTAACTCTGAAAATCATTTTAGATCGTAGCAGGAGGGAAAACACTTTCTCAAAGCCAGGCGCGCAAAGCGAGCCGATCTCTTTGATTTCGATCACCGTCGTTACATCAGAATGCAAGAATATGATTAATGGCAACGAAACATCTAAAAGCAGCTAAATTTCACGGGTAAACGGATCGATTATTCACGGTCCTGTATCTCAATCACTGAGCATTCGCCATAAATTCAGAGTTATTTGATGCTATTAGCTTCTCGCTGTGCTACTCATTCCAATAATCCATCTATTTGTCCGGGTTAATGCGCCCCGCCGCACACGTCTAATTCGATTAGAGATCGTGCCGATTCTTCGAGTTAGAGGAATCAGTCGGGTTGCAATTTTGCCGCAATTCAAGGGGAATAACGAGTATAACGCGACATAATAAATTTAATCGTTCGAAATTAATCGAAGAATCGCAATAATGCATCGAAGCACCATCAGAAGATATTGCACAGAAAGAAATAAGTGTCGAATCAAAACTTATATACTTAAACTAATGCGTTCATTGTTTCGTATATACGCAACAATTTATAATCTGCTTGGAAGAATTTAATAATTTTAAATTTCAACAATATTATAGTCTTATTTGAATATTGTAATTGTCACCTGAAGAATATATAATTATTTAATTCTACTTTAGGAAAATTATTATAATCTTTGATTTAAAAATGTTATTTTCGATTCAACATTGTTTTTTTTCATTCAAGAAAATTAAATCTTAAATCATAAGAATGTATTCTTCTGGATTGAACTATATAAAATGGTTTCATTCAAGTA